GGAAGTGCTTATCCAATCATCTGAAATAGAACCCGTTATTTTAGTCACGTGTACCACCCTACACCTGACAATATGTAAAGTGGAAGACAAAAATAAAACTTAACATTAAACCTTAAGACGAATTTAGTCTATTCCTTTATTTATTTATTTACATTCTATGGCACATTTCATGACACTGTCGGTANTTAAACCTTAAGACGAATTTAGTCTATTCCTTTATTTATTTATTTATTTATTTATTTATTTACATTCTATGGCACATTTCATGACACTGTCAGTATCTCAGACAATACAGCATCAAATCCTAATATGATTAGTGAATTATAATTGCAATCTTCTGAATTGTGTCAATATGATGTCTTGTAGGGAGATATGAGTACTAATGTTTTGTGGGTTATATTCTACCTCTGTCTTCAGGACAGAAGTGAGTTGAATAAGGATGTGATAATGTTATATGAGAAGATTACAAGGGAGGTGGCCAGTTGGAGCCACAAATGGGGGAGAGGGACAGAACAAGTCCAAGCCAATTGGAGGGGTGAAGCAGAAATGTGAGAACTGGCCCTTTTCACTGACACTGCAGATGAGCACCTTCTTTGCAACCGGCATATACTATAATCCAACTGATACCTTATCCTACACACTTCTACCCTGATGATACAGGCAGCATATTTCTCTGAAACATTGGTATCCACTTACAAGATAACATGCTATCACAAGTTTTGAGATCATGATCTGAACAATCATGGCTGTGAAAACATCAAAATTTATATTAGTAAATAATGAAGTAGAAAGGGTGGGAAAGGAAGCAATCATATCACAGTTTAATGCACTATCCTGACATCTGCCTGGAGGGACCAAGGAAAACTACTAAGACCTCAGACAGGATAGCTGGTCTGAAGGCTGAGATGTGAAGTCAGAACCTCCTGGATACAAAGCAGTAGTGCCACTGCCCATCAGGGTCATCTTTCCGAATATGGCTAAAAACTGAAATTCATGTTCATCTTATTTAGAATTCACAAAATCAATAACTGTACCAGAAAAAGTTAAAATTGCATGTACTTCATACTTAAGATGATGAGTTGCCTACGAGAAAGCACTAGAACACATTTGATACAAAGAAAGTAACAGTTATGTCACATGCTGTCTGCTTCCTGCTACCTACTGTGATCCTAACAGCAAACAATCACAGATATTATGAAATTTGCTTCCTTCACATGTATGTAGTTTAGTTTATTGGGGTGGGGTGACACTGAGTCCACTTGGTACATCAGCCACTAACTAACCTATTGTATCAGCCCTGGATGATAAATGATGATGAATGTGGAGCAGTCAGGTAAATTAAAATTGGCATGGGAAACTGAAGTACTTGGCAAAACCTGCCCCAGGGCCACTTTTTCCACCACAAATCCCAAATGAACTGACCCTAGCTTCAACCTGGGCAGCCATGGTGGGAAGCAGGCAACCAACCACCTGAGCTATGGCACAGCCTTTTCATATGTATATACGTGGTGCAATCCAAAAGTTCCCTAAATTTAAATTTTGCGTGCGAATGGTTCTGAGTACATCGAAATACCGCTACGTGTCTCCCCACACACCCTTCTTGAATCAGTGTGGCAAGCGGCGTCGAGTTGAGTGGTTGGATTTATTGTTGGTGAACGTATTTCCATTGTTGTGTTTCCGTGAGTTTGCGGTTTTGTGACGGCTGACCTGAGAGAGCAGCGTGTCTGTATAAAGTTTTGTTTTAAACTTGGGAAAACTGCTGCAGAAATGCACCAAATGTTGAAGCAAGCTTTTGGTGACAACAGTTTAGGTCAGACACAAACTTACGACTGGTATAAGCGTTTCAAAAATGGCCGAACATCGACTGATGATTACGACCGTTCAGGACGGCCATCAACTGGCACCACACCAGAAAATGTTGCGAAAGTTAGGGATCTGATTCTGCAAGATCGTAGACTGACCCCCCAAGACCTCAGTAACACCTGGGGACTAAGTTATGGTACATGTCTATGAATTTTGTTAGAGGCACTGAACATGAGGAGGACTGCAGCGAAGAAGAAAGCAGTCTTCTGCGATTTGGCACCGTGTATATGTGGTGTTAACCGACGTTTCGGAGGAACGTATCGCCTCCATCTTCAGGGTAGAAGAAAAAGTATAAGAAATCTGCAAGTGACGAGACCGTGAGAACGGTAAAAGCAGACTGGAAATAACACAGCTATGTGTGAGCAGAGAGGGAAGGGGGGAAGGGCAAGTATACAAGTGAAAGCAGTGGTGTGGGAGGGGTAGGGGAAGGGAGCTGGGGCAAGCGTGGTTTTGTGTACTGGAGAGAAAAGCAAGGTTAAGGGCTGGGCTCTAAACCGTAAGCTGAG